GAGCACTTAGGGGGGGATCCAGGGCTTCAGCTGAATATGTAAAAGTGGAGGGCCATGCTGGGCATAGGTGGAAGAAGAGAACCTTGACCTCATGAAGGCTGGATGCCCCAGGGGGTGGGAATTTTGAGGGTGGGGAGGTGGGAGTGGGGGGGTGTAGATAGAGGTTACATCCACAGAGAAGAAGGAGGAGGGGCGAGGGGATTGGGGGTTCCGAGGGGGTGGTGGGGGATGGGGTAAGGGGACAACATAGGAAATGTAAATAAATCATCCAATAAAAAAAAAAGCACAAAGGCCAAAGCAAAAAAAAAAAAAAGAGAAATGGATTAGCGTAGTTATTCCTTATTTTATAACAAAACAAAGGTCTTCGTGATAGCACATAATCCTACAGAACACTGTAGTATATCTTAATATCTTACAGAGCAGTGAAAACACTCATACTAAAGCTGAACCTCCCTAGTCAGCTTGTGTCACCCTTCACTTCTTGTGAGATGCAAAATTATTCGCACTTGTAGCTAACCAAGATGATTTGGCTTCCTAATAGCTCTGCTTCTAGGAAGACATATTCTAGAACTTCAAATCTAAAACACAGTAAACTATAGTAAGGACTGCAAATTTAAAGATGTATTGTTGTTGTTGTTGTTTTGTTATTGTTGTTTGTGTGTATGAGACTGAAAAAAGAGGGAGAGTGTATTCTTTGTGTGTAGATGCCCAGGATGCTACATCTCAGCTCCCATGGAACAATATCTAAAAGCAATTACCACATGAGAGCTGGGAACCAAACTCAGGTATTGTGCAAGAGCAGTAAGCACTCTTAAGTACCAAACCCTCTCTCCATCCCTGGAAACAGAAATGTAAATATTTACCATAGTTTTGCTACTGAACAGGGGAATCCAAATGTAGTAACTAAACTAGCACAATTTATTCTAATAAAGGTTAACATTCTCTCAAAAAAAATAAAAAATAAATAAAAAAGGTAATTATGTCATCACCTTTATTTCCAGAATGTGTACTTAAGTTAAGGAAACATGAATTATTTTCATGGCCATATATTGTTTAGATATCATTGTCATAACTTGTCAATTGAGGTTAATTATAAAGATTTTGCCTGACTAAATCTGAAAAGAAATGAGAATCAGAGTGGAAATAGTAGGATAGACACTGTTTGAGTGTCATCTCTGTTAGTTAGAATTCTACCTCATATTCATTTCGTGGTTCTACAAAAGTAGAATACTGGAATAAGAAATGTGTATGAAAGTAGCTAATATTTGTTGCACCTCAGCCAAATCCATGCAGCTCCTCTAACGTGTGTAACAAAATTCAGCACTTTGGTGTTTTCTTTCCATTTTCATACTCTTTTATGGGTTAGGACCTGACTTCTGGAAGTCAAAGTTATTAAGTGTTCAGGTTTCTAGCTCCTGGCAGTTGAGCTGTCATTATTCATCCACCTCTGCCAGGTTTGCTGTTTGTGAAAGTCTCAAAGGGCACATCAAAGAGTCAGAAATATGTCTCACATAGAAAACAATTTCAATTAGGTTACTATAAAGATTCTTTATTTTTAAGTAGATTTCTGGAGAAAATGTAAGTGCATTTACTCTCAAATATATCACCATAACATGAAAACAACAATATCTACACATTATCATTTTTATATAGATTGCAACTGGGCATATATCATTTAAGTTTTGTAACATATTTAGACTATACTGAAATTCACATATTTCCAGATATACTTCAGTCTTGCATGGTTTTTTAACCATTAGGAACTGTCATCAACAATATCCTTAAACTCCTTTAACTCTTACTTTATTTTAGACAGCAATGCTTAAAGCAAGAACAAATATTTACATGTATCTTAAAAGACTTTGTAATTATTCTCTTGCTGTTTGTTGAAATATAAAAATACTGATTGTAATCTGTAAATGTGTGAAGGTTGTTGAATGGCACCACTATTTCCAAATTACTCTATCTTACTGAGTTGAACCAACTCCTATAAACAAAAATAAGGATTTAATCATTACAGAATTCCATAAAATTCACTTTCTTCTTCAGTAATACAGATGAACACTGTAGATGTGAGAAAGGCACATATTTTGATAATGTTCTGGATATGAGAAATATGAGAATTGAATATAGAATCATCCTAATGTAGCTGGAACATTTAGTTCTGTAAATCTCTTTCTCTTTGATGTTATCTTTGAGCATTACATGAATTCCTAAGTGGTTCATTTTCTGTGCAGTGTTTCCTTATCTCAAAAATAATTAGTATTGTAATTTGTAATACATAATATAAACATAGTTCAGTCACAGCAAGAAAATGATATAAAGAAGTCCACAATAGATTTAACACATGGTCCATAATTTGGTTCACACACAACCAATAATAGAAGCCACTCGACTGTAGAGGGGCAAAGTTCTGTGCCAAATATGATGAAATAATTTCTAATCATCTAAACAAAATCAATTGTCTTTCTTTTTAAAAAAATATTTAAAAAATCTGTAAGTCAATATTGCTCCAAAGTTCCAATGTATACATAAAAAGGTAGAAAGTATTATTTTTAAAATTAGTAATCATGCAATATGAGAAGTTGTAGGTATTTGAATGAAAATGTGGTCCATAGGGCCAGATGTTGGTGGTGGCATTTAAGTAGGATTAGGATGTATGGCTAGAGGAAGTGCATCACTGGTGGTAAGCCTTGAGGTTTAACATCTCAGCACCACAGCCTTTCCAGTATTCTATCTCTGATTCTTGCTTGGCATTAGTGAGCTGAGCTCTCAAATGTTTCTGTCACCATGCCTTCTGCAATTCCCCGCCATAACTGACTCTTATCCTTCTGCAACTGTAAGCTCAAATAAACCTTACCTTCTATAAGGAATTTATCACAGCAATAGAAAAGCAACTAATGAACAGACCTTTAAATAATACGTAAAAGCATATTATCAAATACTAACCCATAAATTAATCAATATAATTTTAATTTGTTTATTTATTTTGCAGTTCAAATGTAAAAATAAAGAATAACATTGTCTGTAAAGAACATGTTTTCAATTCAGATTATAAAAACCTAATTTCCACATATGTGAATTATAGATGTTCTTAAAATTGAAAAGATATTAGACACCATTTGAGCCAATATGTCTATATCTTGCCTCACAGAAAGTTTTGGAAAATGTTATAATAACATAGTGAATCACTGGACACCATGCAAATGCTCATCAGTAGAGGACAATTTAGAGTGATCGTGGAATTGATGAGTTGATAGGATATCTTAATATTCACAGACAGACAGAAATACCTTCATATGAAAAATGTGGGACCATTTTGAGAGTAGTCACTTTCCTGAGTGAGGATAATATATGTATGAAGGCAAAGTAACAGATTACTTTTCTATTCTGGATGTGTTATGTATGTTATGAATGTTTGAGTATGTAACTAAATATTTATTTATTTATTTATTTCATGTTACTCATAAATTTATAAATTATAGTTATTACCTGAAATGTCAGAACAAACTCATTTGGGCAGCTGGCTCAGAGCAATAGAAGTGAGATTTCATACTGCTCATTTCCTGAACAAATTGAGATTTATAAAATCTATTTTACAAAAAAGTAAATATACAATTGTGTTATATGCCTAGGAAGGGTAGTATCTCATTAGCCTCTTATAAAAACACCTTTTATGTCTGATTTACAAAACAAAACAATTTATGAAAAGCTTGTTGGAATTCTGGGGATAAACACTGGGATTTTCAGATATCAATCTAATAATAATAGCATGAAAATTTTCATTTCTCAATACCAACAGTTATTAAAACCATGAATTCAACCTGAATTTAAAATAAAAAGATTCTCTCTGTTCTTTATCTTTTGTGACATAGGCAAAGAAAGTAGTTATAAACTTATTCCTAGGTGCTTGGCTAGAAAGTATATACTATCTTTTAATAAAATTTTTATACTATTATAGAATGCGGTAGAAAATATTCTTAGGAATTTAGTGATGAACTATTTATATAGTCAAAAATAAATTATTTGAGTAGAGCAGCAGCAAAATAAATCATAATACAAAAAAACCAATAAGATATTGAACAGTCTTACACGAAATACCTTCACTTTAAATGAAGGAAGTCATGCATAAATCAGCATACAAGTTAGGGCAAACTTCTATAACAAATTGGAACAAGCATATGTGAGGCCTGTTAAAAAGGTTTCTTAGATGCTATTTACTACACATTTGTTTTGTCAAGAAATACTAACCAATCTTAAAGTAAATTGTATGAGTTAGCTTTGCAATTATACAATTCTAAATGATATGTGATTGTTTTAAATAGAACTACTTAAATGAAGAAAATACCACAGATAGGATACAACAATCTTTTTATTTTTCTGGATCAGTTATAACTTGAAGAAATGATACTTTATATTTATCACATGAAATTTGACAAACAAGTAAGGCAGCATAAAAAGAAATAGTACAATGCTATTTTAAAAACTACCTCAGGGTTAATATGTTTTCTTCTGTCACTAGAAAAATATGTTTTAATTACAACAATAACTATACTCTGAAAATTTATAAAACGCAGCCACAGATTTATATTTTGCCATGTACAGTGGAAGTTTAAATAAATACAAAAATAAAAATTTAATGGGTTAAAGAAGATTTGATGTTCTAACAAAACATCATATCTTTGCAATTAATAAGAAAAATGATGCAAATATTTAATTTAGGTTGAAATGTAATTTAGGTGGATATTTAATTTAAAAGATCTTGTGTATCTACTACTTCAAACTCAATATTACAAAATCTTTTTCTTACATATGCACAATGCTTAGATATTATAATGTTGCCATTAAATCAAAAGGCAATTTTTTTAAGTCAGAAACTATGTTAATTGAAAAAAACAATAATGCTTTCCTGACATGAATTTTATGGAATGAATATATATATATATATATATATATATATATATATATATATATATATACTGAAATACCACATAGTGCCCTTAAAAATATACACTTTTTCATGTTAATTTAAAAATGATATCATATTGATAAAATTCTTAGCAATGTGAAGTTCTAGTGTTCACGCCCTAAATTTACAAGTAGAATTCCTGCTAATATTTTTAAGCCTGATAATGTTCATGATTATCTAAAAATTACACAACTAAATATAATACAAAATTTCACAAAAATATGTTACAATCCTTTATAGTTTAGCAATTCAATTCACAAATAGAACAAGAGGCTAAGAAGTCAGTAATAACAAATCGAGTTAGAAAGGCAGATAATAACATAGTAAGATAAAACTCTACTGAGTGGAGTTAGAGAAATATATAAATACAGAAAGCATCCTATATAAGAGAAGCACAAGAGAAGTACATCTAGGATATTTGTAAGTTCAGAGATAAAAGATTAGAATTGCCAGAAGAAGCACAGTTGTCTGAAATAAAAGAGCACTCCAGCATACCAGATGTAGTTACTGGGCATGTTGGTGCAGGCCTTTAATACCTGTAATCAGGAGGCAGAGTTCTGAAGGCAGAAGGGTTCCAGGACAGCCAGGACTTCACAGGGAAACCCTGTCTTCAAAAACAGAAAGAAGGAAAGTAGGTACCATTTCAGCATATAGGAGCAGAAGGATGCACAAACACCAGGCATGCTCTGAGAAACTAGTCCTGGGAAAAAAAATCAACATCTTTAGCCATGGCTGTCTACTTCTAGCTGCATATGCCCATTTCATGATTAATCTGCCAGGCTACTTAAGGGCTTGTAATTTGCTAAGTTTCTAAAGATAATTAAAGCATTAAACATTCAAATCCTGCATTTATAAGCTTAACCATCAACTTAACAATAAATAGAGTAGTATCCATGAGATCACTCACTTTTTCTATGTGCATAAATATGCTCATATTAGACTATATTAGAGTATCACCATGGAAACTAATTGCCATGTGTTTTCATGTAATGAGCAAGGGCACAGATACATTTTAATAATTAAGGAAAAGCATAAACTCTACAATGAGTTTAAAACGACTGCATTCTTACAGAAGTTCTAAAAACTCTTTAAAGGAAAATGCAGAATTGCACCTTAGTCACCATAATTCTAAGTTACTGTGTGAAAGCAAAAGTTAATTCAAAGTTCCTAAAGCGAAACTCTATGTCTAATCCTTACCACAACTCTTTATGAAGTTAGAAAAGGTAGTCAAGTTGTATAGCGAGATATGCAACACTTGTTTTCTTAAAAGTATAATCCAAAGAGATAGCTTTCATTTTAGAAAATCAAAGTAACAGATGGCTTATCATTTATGATAATCTTATGAATTTAATCTCTTTCAGTAACAAATTTGTCAACAAGTTATCATGTGCTTTAATGATCTAATGAGGTGTCATATAAGAGAGTTTTTCTATTTTTACAAAGGTCTATTCCATCCTTCCTTTAAAAAATATAATTTATGATCTCAATATTTCCATGGAAATTCTTATTGTATGGCCTGAAAATATTCTTATTTTAAGAAATGGTAATGTGGGTAGTTTTCAGATATGAAACTTTCTAGAAATACAAGTGTCTTCCCAAAGATATATGAAGAAGGTAAAGAAGGAAGGAAGAAAGAACATCTGGAAAGAGACATTGAATTCCAAATAAAGCTGGTAAAAAATCTTAAAGCCTCCAAGCTTTAAAAGAGAGAACAGTTAAAAGTTATAAAATGTGTATCAAAAAGAAATGTCCTAGGAATAATAGCTAATGTCTACATACTGTGAATACATCAAACAACATTTCTACTTCTTGCATCCTGACATGTGTGAAATGTGCCAACTAAAGAAAATTAGACGTACATCAGTATTCAGTTAACAACAACATGATAAAATGAATGTTTTGGGTTGTGATGTCATCCTGGTCTTCCTTCAAGGAAAGGAGAAAGAGAAGGCAAATAGGAGGAGAAAGTAAGCTAGCAAGAAGACGAGAGAGAGAGTACATATCTATCAAAGCCAAACAAAAACATTGTAATTGTCAGTAAAGACAGAATCCAAATAATCCATTCAGTTTCTTGAATTTCCCTTAATGTGCTTGGGGGAGCCTAAAAGTACTTCTTTATTCAAGTACCCGGGATTTCCTCTGTCAGATGGTTGATGGTGTATGAGAATAAAAATTTATTTCTACTCTGCATGCTCCCAGAGAAGAGAACACTGATATATCCATACAAACGGCCATATACTCCACTTCAATACTTTTATAGTCAAGGCACAAATAAAACTTTGACTGATTTCTTCATTAGCCTACACTGTGACTCCTCACGTAAAATGAACTTGCACCCAGCATTGGTTTGATCAGAGGGTCTAATGAGCAGAAGAAGCTTGTGCATAGCTCATTTTTCATGTTAGAATTTGCTCAGGAAAAAAAAAAGAAGAAGAACCTGACTGTGTATAGCACTTGGCTTTGCCTCATCTGCACCCAATGTAATCCACTGTCAGGAATCATATATGTCCCAACAACTTCCTGTCCCTACATTTAAACAGCAGTCAGGAAAAGACTCACACAGTACATTTTGCAGTCTATTAAAAAGATAACAAGATTTGAATTAATCCATATATGACATATATGACATAGGAGTATACCTGCACTTTTACAGACTTACACATTCTAATGATAAAATATCAAAAAAAAAAAAGAGAAACATGTTGATTTTACTTCATGCTTGCAGTATGAATGGTTTGATGAACAACGTTGAGAACGATTTTTAAGTTCATCTCATTCACGTCTCATAGAAGCTCTGCGGGAATCATCCATCAGTTCTCATTAGATTGCGTCTGCGTTACGTAACCATAAGCTTATTTACTGCATTCCTAATACACAGTCCTTCATGTGGACCTAGAATAAAGTCAACTTAGAAATACTATATGAAAACAAGCAGTGGTGGCTATTAGTTTTTATTAACTACTGAACACTTTAGCAGGGTTTACACTTTCACAAAGTTATATACACAATAGAGTTCCTAGTTAAATCACACAAAACATCATTTAAGGTCAGAAAGAAACCATGGTAGTTAAGTTGCCAGCAGTAGCACATCTCCCAGAGTCGTTTCTGAGTCCTGACTGTGGTTGGAACTGATGCCAGTGTCTGAATCGGTGTCATTTGTATACGTGTTAAACACCCTTTGAGTTAATGGAGGGATCTCCCCGTTGCTGCTGGGAGCCTCAGCTTCCTTTCCTCTGTTTTCTTTTCCCTGACATCCATCCTTGTTGCTAATGTGAAGTGAACTGAACTCCTTGGCTAGGAGTTCATACTCCCTTGCTTTCATCTGAAGCAGTGAGTCACTGTATTTAATCTCTCTCTGGATGCCACTCAAGTGAGAGTGGATTTTCAAACCAGCTTTCATACTTTTCTCCAAATCGCACTTAACACTTTCCAAATCTGAGTTTTCCAGCTCACAGGCAGCTGCCCCCTCCATGTCTTCACTCCCATCAATCCCTGCACCCTTCACCTCTCTCTCAATCTCAGCAGAGAGTTTATCGATGAGCGCTCTGTAGTATTGCAGCTGTTCCTCCAGCTGCGCCATCCCCTCACCATCATTCAGGTCCTCTGGAGCTTGATTATCCTCAGATTGAATGTCTAGCTTCTGCTCTTCTTCACCGAACCTAGGCATTAAATAGGCCTCCTGAACGTAATTGGCTCCATCATTCCCTACTCGGTCCAAGTGGATCTTAGCTTCACATTTTTCAATTTCCATATCTAACTCTTTCATTCTTTGCACTTGCTGGTGAATCGTGTGGTCCTGAGAAATAATCAGATGAACTAAACACTCCATATTGTCTCGATCGTGAGAACCTGTGTCCTGCCTAATTTTAGCCAGTTTCCGGAAGGTTTTCCTGACGATTCGTTTTTGTTTATCTGGTGGTAAAGTTTTCATGTAATTCGCTGGGCTGAGCTCCCAAGGCTTTTCATTAGTTTGCACTAGTTTGGTTTCAGCTGTCCGCCACAGTGGAACTGGGAGAAAGGCATCTGTTTTAACCAAAACAAACTGCATGTTGGGTTGTTCATCTCCCCAAGCCTTCCACAGCTTCAGGATCCTCGTCAGGGGAGGAAGGGCCCGCTCTGAGCCCCTCCACTTTTCTACGATGCAGTAGTCACTGGCCTTGCCCAACAGAAATCGCTTTTCTCCGAATGTAGCTTCATGTTCCTCCAGCAGCGCCTGGATGACATCGATGGAGGTGGTGCGTTTAGTTAATCCGCAGACAATCTTCTCATCCTGGCAAACCCAAACCACAATTTCCTTCTCTTCAGGATCCATGTCTTTAGTTGGAGATCTAAAAAGGAAAACAAAGAGCATTTCTGTCATCGCCTGTGTAAACTCAGAAAGATGGTTTAGCCTTAATGCCAATTCTTGCCTCTTACATACTCTTGGGTTGTGCTTACAGAAGAAGAGGAAGATATGCTTCAGGATATGAAGGCAAAACCTTTGGATTTCTATTCAACTTCCTTTTGTAGCTCGTTGTGGAAGGGACAAATTGTCACTAAAAACAGTTAAAATGTTTTCCGTTTAACATTTCAAAGAAGGTTTGTTGTGGCTCACAGTTCTAAATCACAAGACCTAGTGATTTCATCTCATGAAGACTTCTTGCTGATAAAAATCCCAGGTGAGCACACAACATCCTATGACAGGAGACAGAAAAGGCACATGCTTATTTAAAGTCACTCCCTGTACTTGTCAACCCCAAATGACTTCTTCCCAATCACATTTCTGAACATTATAGTCACAGAAAGTGTCTGTCCCTTTACTATTGTAAATATATGGTCGAAATAAGTTGTTTTATAAATTCAATGTCAACTTAAATATAAAGGAGTATTTATCCAGAGATGGATAAAAAGAGTTTTCTTGAGTAAAAATGAGCAAGGACTCTTGACAACTGCTAATAGTCTCTTTGAGGAACTGTTAAAACTGTATTTCCAGTGAATGTAAATCACATGGACTGTGTCTTTCACAATACACTTCTCCAGAATGTGAGCAAATAAATGACATGATTTATACTCCCGCATGATTTATGATGCCATGAAATGTATGAGTAGAAAGAGATTTGCTGTGCAAGTTAAGGCAAATTCACTCATCACTTTACTTAATAACCCCAAAGCATATACCCAAAGAAGAAATTACCAGTGATATTGTCACTATTTCATTTAACACTTAGAATGTACAGCAATTATGGTTTAATAAGTAAAACTCATTAATGTTATCATATGGATTTTCTTTCTTGTGGAATATTCATCTCACCTTGGCTATTGACTTCTGAGACGAAGAAGAAATATACATATCATAAAATAGGAATCATAAAAGACCAAAGGCACTCCCTAGCTGAGAACTTAGTAAAATGAAATATTCAACTGTAGAATAGAGATTTTTGAGATCAGGCAAATCTTTTCTTTTTATTTATTTATTTTTAAGGCATATCTGCTCTGTCTACTACAAATGCATGACAGAAGATAGCATCAGATCCCTTTATAGATGGTTTTGAGGCAACATGTGCTTGCTGGGTATTGAACTTAGGAACTTTGGAAGAGCTGGCAGTGTCTTTAACCCCTGAGGCATCTCACCAGCCCATGATCAACTAAAATCTACACTGGATTTTGATGAATCTCTTAGAAAATATTTTTACTTAGTAATTTGTATTGAATAATATATTTTAAAAAGACGTGGTATTTTGACTATGTTTATAGTTCAGTGGCTAATTACCTGCCACATTAAAAATGTGTCAGAATTTAGAACAACAGACACATCACTGGTAGAAAAATGACACATAGTAATTTTGACAATAAAACAAGTATGTTGCCAAAAACCCGATCGAGCATTTACTGTCTGTGTAATAACTTTACAGTATAAATTAGCTTTAAATGAGTCCATACCTTCATGTGTATTAGCCGTTTTACATATAACACACAAAATTACTGCACATGTTTTTAAATTTTGAAGTTAGGTGTTATCTCCTTTGGCTTCGATGGTTTTAAAAGTAGTAACTCATCTGGCCTTTGTGTTTAATTACATCTTATTTACATGTGGTTTTCATGGGAAATATAAATTTTGTCTTTGCTTTAACTATCAACATTAACTGACAATACAAATAGCTATTATATTCAAATAAATGTGTTTTTAAGTGTACTTTAAGTATTCGAAGTGTTGGAAAAGTCTATTCAATATACACAATATTGGGCCAGCAAGATGGCTCACATGGAAAAGAAGTTTAGACAAAGCTTGTTAACCTGAGTTTAATGATCTCTAGGGTCCACATGGTGGGAATACAGAGCTGACTCTTACAAATTGTTCTCTGACTCCCACATGCCTATACAACTGCATGTGTCCCTACCACATTCACACATCATACACACCTACAGACACTCTAAAATGTATAAAATAATCATAAATTTAAAATGTATATAACATTGAAAATCATAACTATCAAATATTAAGCATTTGTAATATTCCATACATTCCTCTCATACCTGCTGCATATTAACTAATTTGATTGTCACAACTCTATAGGGACAACCTTTATTTGTAGATTCTCAGGCATGGGAATCATACTGCATTATAAGTAAGATTTTTTATGCACATGAGATAAGTAAAAAAAGATAGGCTACTTTCTTTTTAAACTTTAGGATGAAAACTTAACCTTGTGAGAACTATATGCTCAGTATCCATTGTATAACACTCAGTTCACATAAAAGAACATCTCTAACTTGCAGCCATGGCAAAAGTCCGCAGTAATGTGTCACTTAAAGAACTAATTATGTGTCTAAGCTAATACAGTAGTGATCACTTTCTAGCTCCTTTGAGCAATTATATTAGCTGACAACACATGTGTATGAAAACCAACAACAATAGAAATGAACAAAATCCTGAGCCACTTCCTGTTCTCTTTTCTGGTTGGAAAGTGTTAGCTCTGGTGTCTAGCGATGGTTGCCTGCTGATCTATGAGTTCTTCAGCCCTGTATTACAGCTGTGAATTATGTTGGAAGCAGAGAGCAGAGAATCCTTTTCATAAAGATCATAATGATGTCTATGCCCGTTTCTAACATTTCCAGAACTCCTACACCAGTAGAGATGTTTCCTACCTTGAAAAGATCAAATCATCATACACTGAGTTTTCCCTACATCCAAAGGCTGCTAATTTTTAGCTCTTTTAACCAAGGTTCAATTATGTTCATTATGGATTATGAGGGAAAAATATTTATTTTATATTATATATATAAAACAATTGTAGACTTTTATTACAATCTCACAAACTTATGGGCTCTAAGCCTTTGTTTATATGTTCTTTCAAACATCAAATCAATGCTTATGTACTTTCTAGGGTTGACTATTATTACATATTTGGGGGAATTTCTACAGCCATTATCCAAACAAAATAATTTTTAAAAGTTATGCTATCTAACTGAACACAGTTAAATGTAATGATCACTCAAGACTAAAATCAGGCAGTAAATCTTTCACAATTTGTATCTGTTTTGTCATATTTAAAGAATATTTTATGGCTTTCTTAGGATTTTGAAAACTAGTTAATTTATGATACTGCTCTGACTGATTTTCTATTCATTCACTTAACAAATATTTCAAGTCACTTTATCTATGGGTACTGTACATGATCCTAAGAGAAGAATGGTTATAAGGTTATCTCTGTCACACTATCAGAACCAGGTGTCAGGTTAGAAAGAAAACACTTATTAGTGACAGTTCTACTACTGAGTTTCATAGTTTATTATATATATATATTAGAATGCAACAAGGCAATAGAGTAATGATCCTTAGTTATTCATGAAATTAAAACAAATTCAAATGAAAACATAGTAAAAATTAGCATTCATAGATATTAAACCAAATTAAAAATTTAAAAAATTCTTTAAAAAACTAACTGTATCATTTGATCATGGCAAAACGTAGTCATCTGGTATGGATAAATATTTTAACCCTAAACCTTTAGAATGAAGGCCTTGCTTCTTAATCTTTAGCTTATGTAGGAGTTCTGAACTAGGATACCAATATTTTGAAATGTGTTATCTACTGAAACCCATACAATCTTCAAACATATACATAGCAAAAGATTGAATATACAAACTTAGTGTGATAACTTGGTCTGTGATGCAATATAATAAATACTGGCTACCTAGAGAATGCAATTGTAGTAGTTGATATTCATGACTAATATAGCAGGGCACTGTTATCCTGAAAATAAAAATGTCTACAGTATACTTTGTTTTGGTTTTGCTTTTTGCTGTGTTTTGGGAGAGTATCCTCCAGACTATTGCTGTGTCTAAATGCCTGAGAACACAACTTAAGAGGGAAAGAATTTATTTTGGCTCATGGTTTAAGAAACTACAAGTCAGGTGGCTCCATCCTATCTTGGAACCTGAGGTAACATATCCTGGTGGAGGGGGGCTCAGGGGAGCAAAGATGCCCATCTCATGGTGGCCAAGAAGCAGACAGCAATAGGAAAGAACTAGGGACCAGGTGTTGATAGCAAGCCTATGCTTCAGATGTCCATCGACTCCATCTGCTCCCTAGCAGGATAGCTATAAACTCACCAAGTACTGCAATCTGTGGATGAAAGCAAACCCCTCGTGATGCAATGAATATTTAATGATTGGAGGTAGGAGTACATTTTGCAAGACACTTCGTACACACAATGATAGGCTATAGGCACATTAAAACTGATTTTACTGTTTATTTTTAATATATAACATATCCTAGTCTAATAATTTACTACTAGTTGGTGTTTACATCCCAATGGCTTAGCAGTATTTATAAAGGAACTCACTCTCAATACAATTATATGCTTCAATTTTATGTCTGGCGTCCAGCATGCAATACCCTTGTTCCTTTCTCCTTAATCAATTAGTTAAATTTCTTCCTTACTTTTGGAAATGTTTGCATGTATTTACTATTGACAAATTAATGGAGTTCTTTAACTCTCAGATATTCTATGGGTTTCGGTAATCACAAAGTTAAGAAATCAAGCATGTTGAGCTTATAAATACTGTCGTGATTATCTTTGGCAGAACTGAGACAAGGTAATGGTCATTGCCTTTATTAATATCATGTATCTAGGAAATGGTCAATTTGAGTGTTCCTCTCAGTTCTGACTTTAGAACAGAGACTAATAATAATATATTAAAATAAACTAAAATGTGTTTGCAATGACCCATCCAGAAGCATTTCTGTGCTTGCCAATAGATCAAGTTTCTGCACTTCTTTTCAAATTAATTTTTTTTTTTTTAATTTTTTTATTGGATGTTTTACTTACATTTCATATGTTGTCCC